AGCCACAAATCAACTCAGACTCGATCAGACAACCAGTCAGTCAGCTTGTTTCTCTGTTTCAGTGTCTTTCAGTGTGTGTTTCATTGTGCTTTCAGTGTCAACCAGGAGAATGAGTGAATCACGAGCCAGACAGAATTTCACCAAGGAATGTGAAGATGCGCTGAACAAACAGATCAACATGGAATTGCAGGCTGCATACGACTACATGGCATTCTACACCTACTTCGATCGAGATGACGTCGCCCTTCCCAATGCAGCTGAATTCTTCCGAAACGCGTCACTCGAGGAACGTGAGCACGCTGAGAAATTGGCGAAGTATGTGAACAAGCGTGGTGGTCGTGTTGAGTACAGTGACATTAAGGCTCCATGTAAGACGGAGTTCACAGGTGTTGAGGATGCGATGATGACAGCTCTTGCAATGGAGAAGGCAGTGAATGAGGTGAGTGAATCAGTCGGCAATGATAAGGATGATGATGTTGATGATTGCCGTGGTGGTGTTATTAGTGGTAATCTTGTTGATCCATCCTCTTGATATATTAATTTAAAGTGACCTGTTTAATTGCATATGACTCTGTTATGAGTTGAGAGGACTACGAACATTCACATGTCGGAATTCGTTTGTGATATATATCTTCTTAAGTGTCTTCAATTCTCACTGGAAACACTTAACTGTCGAAGTGAGCTCTGCTGCTGAATATTATTCACTCGATTTTGTATACTCGAGTGAGCTTTTATTAAATGAAGATTTCCTGCTAGTCGACGTTATTGAATTCCGTAATGGTGAATATTTTGCACGCGAGTCAACTAACCTCATCGATTACCATCATTCCTACATCCATCCATCCATCACACATTCAGACACTCACATACACAGAAGAACACACAAACACACGCAGAAATTTATGGTCGCGAGTTATCACTTAGGCGTTTCAATTAGCTCATGCAGTCTATTTCAATTTATTAATATTACTATTTTTTTCAGTATCATTATTATTATTATCATTGTTATTATTGAAGTGATTCTGATTCTCCTCATTTTCTCCCGTCTACTCACAGTCACTATTGAAACTCGATGAACTGGCTTCGAAGAACAATGATCCGGGATTGGCTGACTTCATCGAGAGTGAATACCTACATGAACAGGAGGATGGAATCAAGCAACTCGCCGACTATGTGACTCAGGCGAAGAGGGTTGGCAGTGGACTGGGTGAATATTTGTTCGACAAGTTGACACTGAAGGAGACTGGAATTCACTGAGACTTCCTTCGTTCGAGTCGTTTCCTTTGAATCCCTCCTTGTTGTACAGTGCATATTAGTTTGTATGTATGTATGTATGTATGTGTGTGAGGAGGCTTTGTTAATTTCCGTGTGAAGAAATATAATCTTGCCGAATATCATTATTTGTGTTCATCAGCTGCCATGTCACATCACATTTTGAAGGGGAATGTGCAGCTGATAGTTTGTGGGAGGAAGCGAACAGCTGACACAGACGGATAGTGCAGGTGTATTCGTGAGGCTGAATGAATGTGTTAAAAATTATGCGGAGGAGGAAGTTCTTCCCTAACTGTGTGATGAAACGTCAGGAGCAAATTAAGTGTCATGCTGACTGCAGATTTATCTGATCGGGACAGTGATACTCATTCTGAAATCACATGCCATTAATAATATTCCTCGTTTTCTCCTCATCACGCTGTTTGCTGTTTACTTTTCAACCCAGTTGACATTATACATGACAGTTCTCAGGGTTACTCTCAATGTGTATAGAAATGATGTCCTCGGAATGATGTCTATCTGGTTCGGTCTCCTGTTTCTTCTTTATATTCAACAAATCCCTTCAGTTTCGAAATGAAGTACACCTTGATTAGTTAGTCTTGATTATCCGACTGCAGAATAATTTGAGGACAATGACAGTGTATTACACGTGGGTCGCTCAGTGATATTCGTCCGTGTATTTCCAAAAGTGTGCGTGATATGTTCTTACTGCAGTTTGACACTGAACAGTCAGGTGTGGATTTATTCGGGATATCTCACACGGTACCAATTTCAAATGAAGTGTGTAATTTGACATGCATATGGTTTCATCTTCTCCATTCAGGGTTGTCGTCTTCTTCTTCTTTTGGGTCATTGACTAATGCAGTCTGAGTGAGTTGTTTTCAGGGTTTTATTGTTCGAGGACACACAATCACGTGATCGGAGTCGTTCACGTACACAGTGAACGGCTGTGAACCAGTCGGTCACGTGTTTTGTGGTGTTTTCATTCGAGGCCAGTAATTGTGTGTTTGTGTAGTTTATCTAAATTTCGTATTTTGAAGAGTGTCTACTTGTGTGTCATTGTGATTGGAAGCAACACTTATCCGAGATGTTTCGTGTAATTGTTCCCTTACTTCAATGAAATTTGGCGATGATTATGATGGTGTGTTTGTTGGACCGGTGTCAGCAGTTATTCGGATCACCGTAATGCCCATCTTGTCTCTCCCATCTGTTTACGTCCAACACGTTCCACCTTCAATTTCAGATATATGAAATATCAGTACAAATGATCATCTGTCGATGTTAGCTTTGTTGTTGGATACTATTCAATGGAATGGGATGTGCACAGCTCTTGAGATGGTGAATGCAGTGAGTGGTTTGAATAAATCAATCAGTCGATGATGATAATCTCAGTAGCAGTGATTTTGTTGGAGGGATTGACGCAGATGAAATGACACGATAATCGAATCGTCTGTAATCTGGCATTCATTCAGAGCATCTCGTCGCTCGTTGATTAGGTGAATTGCATTTAAGTAATTTCCTCAGTCGCATGGTAAACGTGAACACAAAACAAACCATTAATTCATCGCACACGAATCACAATTCAGGATGTGATTGTGATCATGTCTGTGTTTTAGAAGTGTTTTATTCATGCATTTCATTGACCCAGTCACCTCTCTGTTACATGTTTGTGGAATTCAGCGCTTTTTTTTCGTTTCCACTGCAATTTATTTGTTCTAACTTTGCGACCTATTTCCTGTCTTCTGATTTGTACTGCGATTGTGTTTAGCCTTTGAATGTTCTCTAGTCTCCACCATCGTTATGCAACAACATGGACTGTCTTTCTTTGCGTACGCCACTCATCAATGAAATATTCTCTATTGACCATGCTCAGTTACTTTGTCGATTGTCTAGTCTTACTTATGTGTATTAATTCGGTTTACGTGATAGTGGCCTTGCTGTTTCCCGGTCTCCACTTATGCATTCACTCTCTGTATTTTGGACGAAGTATGCAGTGAGTTAACTGTCATCTCCCATAATTTGAGATTTATTCCTTCTTGCAGTTGCTTAATAGACGAAATCAATGGATTTCGATGTGTTCGAAAGGGGAATTCGGCGTCCCTGAAATATCACACACCAGCTAAAACAACTTCATTCGGATCGTCGTATATTCCAGTTTTACTGTTTTCAACAGACCGATCATTTCACCTGTGTTGACAATGCAGGCTGATGCTCAGAGCTAGATACCGATCTTGCGGTACCTGTGTGAATGTCACTTTTGCAACAGCTCCGCGTTGGAAATTTGGCTTCAACAGCACCTTACACTGTCTTCTGCTTAGTCTTCCTTAGCTGGGTCCACGATTACCTATGCGCTTCCATTTTCTCTCCACACAGTCTCCTCCATGTCATTCGAGAAGTCCCAACTCATCATTTCTTATTTGTGTTCCCCTCTGGAGGGTCTGTCACATGGTGTCACATAACGGTTGGCTAAGAGTGTGATCAATTCATCTCCATTTTGCTTTCCATATTTGTTAGGGGACAGATTTTTGGTTGGTTGGTTCGTTCGTTGATTGAGAAGAGGAACTGTTGTGATTGACAATTTCTATCACTGTATTATGTAAATACTTACTGTTGTTTGTTGATATATTTATTATATGCATTACAAATAGTTCCGCCAAATAAAAATTCCTAAATTCATGCCTCTCTGTGTTGCTGGTTGATTTCCTGTAATTCGGTCATGGTGAAACACTACTATTACAGTTACTTATAACATTTTGGCGTCGCTATGGAATTAAATCATCTCGGAATGTTTCCTATGAATAGTTCACCACGAGAAATCATCGGAAATATCTTGAATGCTTCAACGCATGTTGCATGTCGAAGAATATTGGCGATGACAAAATTTCGTCTCATTTTATTACTGCTATTGGGCTAGATGCGTACAGCCTAGTGAAAACTCTGCCATTTCCAGATAAATCAATTTCTCTGCCATTTGATATACTCCGTGAACTTCTAACAGTTCACTTTCACATAACAACTTTGGAAAGACGAGAGAGGGCTGAGTTCAACAAACTTGTTCGTTCTACCAACCAGAAGCTTGGAGACGTTACTCTTCAGCTTCAGATACAAGCTTCAAAGTGCAACTTTGGAGATCAGCTGCACACTCAACTACGTGATCGTCTGATTCCTGGAATC